TCATATATGCAGAAAATGAAGTTTTTGATTAATTACTTTTTATTATATGAAAATCTTGAGTTCTATAAATTCGTACATAAAAGAGTAAATATATATTTTAACACTAACTATTTTATCTTTTTTAAATTTTTAGCGAATAGATTTGAGAAAGTTTCTTATATAATTGAAAAATGATGTTTTCACTTGAAAAATTGTTTAGTTTATCATAAAAAAAATATCGTATAGAGATATCCTCTCAATTTTATTTCAATTTTTCGAGCACCTCCAATTGCTCAAAGTATTTTCAAAGTATCTTCAAACGAACGTAAAAGATTATTTGTTTCCTCTACTTTATCTAATTGAATCTCGAATAACCCCTAACTTGAATTATTTGGAAAATGATCAAATATTTTTCAAATAGATAAAAATTATTTACATGATAAAGATGATAAAGATCTACCTTTAACATTTTTAGCGAATTTTTAGCGAATAGATTTGAGAAAGTTTCTTATATAATTGAAAAATGATGTTTTCACGTGTAAAATTGTTTAATTTATCATAAAAAAAATATCGTATAGAGATATCCTCTCAATTTTATTTCAATTTTTCGAGCACCTCCAATTGCTCAAAATATTTTCAAAGTATCTTCAAACGAACGTAAAAGATTATTTGTTTCCTCTACTTTATCTAATTGAATCTCGAATAACCCCTAACTTGAATTATTTGAAAGATGATCAAATACTTTTCAAATAGATAAAAATTATTTACATGATAAAGATGATAAAGATCTACCTTTAACATTAGAGATAATATTCTAAATACGTCGAGATTCTTTACTCATATCATTCCACAATTGTTCAAACAATTTTATAATTGCACAGGTATACAAATATCGTGCATAAACGTAATATCATATTGGATATTTTGTACACTTCGAAGATTCGAATTCCTCGCACACGTAAACATCCGTATCCACTTGCATTCATAAGTCTCGCGTGAGTTTTACCGTGCAAATTTCCATAGGCTGAAAGGGGAAGCAGATTTAACAAACAATAGGAGCGCAATACCCCCTCCTCCCCCGATGGGCAGCGCAATTCAAATTTATCGATACGCCATTAACCTACAAATTTCGCGATATATGCTTGATGCTTTTGCACAGTGATTCTAAGAGCAATTGGACACAAACTGTTTACTCCATGGCCTTTTCAAAAATAGTTGCACACCACCCCGCGACCAAGTAGTTGTGTCCAATTATTTGCAGCGCTCGTGAAACTGGGTTGCCTTGTTAAATCGCGCGTTAATCGTGTGTGCATCGGCGCACGGGGAAAATATTCTTCGATCGGGGCGAATTGGAAGAAAAAGCGGCCGATCATCCCGGCTGACAATTACGAAATAACACGTGAACTCCGCCCGATGAAATTTAATTTCTATTTCGAGGCTTCTATTTCGAGGTTAAATAAAATTAAATAAATAAGCGAAATTATTTTTTTTTTTTTAAATGTAGAATTCTAAAATTCTTCATTTTTCCCCGAACAGTGAAGAGTTTTAGATATATAAAATTGTAACACAATGTATGTGTTGAGTGTTGATATATTATCATTCGTACACAACGTGTACAAAAATATCGATTAAGATTTATTTATCGATAATCGAAGTTGAGATATATATTTTCATCTCATATATAGTTTCATCTAACTTTAATTGCTCGTGACTTGATAATTAAGGTTTTATTTTTGTACACCAACTTTTGTTTCTTCGTTTTGGAATTTAGTTTAGAATAATCAATATCTATAAAAATAATCTTATGATTTTCATATTTGCTATGAAAATATTTAGCAATAAAAGATGTAATTACTTAAATAAAAAAGACTAGGTGAAATGTAATTGAGTAGTAATAATTATTATTATTATACAAAATAAAGTAAAAATAAAGTAACATGATTTCCAGAGACTATAATGATAATTAAAAAGATATCACAAGAAATGGAAATAATTAGAAATAATTGACGACTACAAGTTTTAAATCTCATCTTTTGATATTTTAGATATTGAGATTGATGGAACTTATAATTATGTACTTCTTCATGTTCATAATATGTACATAATATGTTCAATATTAAGAGTAATTTCTTTCATATTTACTTCACAATTATCAAACAATTAATTCTACTAATTCTATATTTACATCAAACGTTCTTCTATATGAACCAATATGACGAAATATGTAATATAGAAGTAATATAAACATATAGAAGTTTATAAACATTATTTCTTTCTAAGCTATTAACATCGTTTCTGTAGGAATTTCCAAAATGAATCATTTTCAGAACACGTTAATGTTAAATTTTCAATCAAATTATCCTTCTTCTGCTTCACCATCTTTAATCACCACATTTAAATAACGAGAATTTAGAACGGTCTAAATTACGGAATCGGATTTCACGAAGAAAATATATAAAACCGAGGGACGATATTAACGAGCCGTTCGTTCGTCTAACGAAAAGTTAGTGAATTACACCCATTATTCGTACCGTAAAGCTTTCCATACACGATTCTAAACGTATTTCTAAAAAAAAAATCTAGCGGTAAAGTTTTGTCGCTTTTGCGGTAGGAATAATCCGGGCCCGTAAGTTTATTTTCAAAGAGAAAGAGAGAAGAAATGGGCGAGCAATGGAACGGAAGGAAGAGGAGGGAGAAATTCTCGCATAAATATAAGGACAATGTTCGTAATTCACAACGGGGAAATATTATTTAATCGTTCGAGAAAAGGAGCAACGAGATCGATATATCATTTGAGGAAAAGGCGAGGTTAAAAAGAAGGGAACCGGCCAAACTTATGGCTTGTGTACGAGACGCCGGTATAAAATATGACGCCCCCAAAGCGCAGGTACCGGAGCCACACACACAGAGGCGGGTTTCAACTATTAAAATGGAATTTAGCCGCGACCGAGGGCGTATTTCACTTCGTAACTTACACCACTCTTGAAACGCGTTAAATAATACCGAACCTCTGGTAACACGCTCCTAGCAACTTGTCAAATTATATTCGAGCAAACATCCGCCAAGAAAGCGTTCTTGATGATCCCCTTTCATCCGCGAATTAGTAACGCGGAATAGTTTCTTTTTTTTTTTTTTTTTTTTTGTTCGATTTTTAGAAACGATTTGTGTCTTACAAATTGAAGTTGTTTACGAGCATGTTTCGGATGAAATTTCTCCGCGTATCTTTTTATTGCATCTGTTTGATTAAAGGTAGGCGCGAAGTAATTTAAGATTGTACACTTAACGAGGGAAGAGAAACGTTTCCGTTTTATTTTTTCTTGAATAAATATGTGAATAAGTAGTTTAATATTCGATGCTGTAGAAGAATATTCAATTTTTTTTGTTTACGTGTTATGTTACGATTTTTTCCTCACGAATCAAATTTATAGATCGACAATAGATTTTTAAATAAATAATTATTTTATTAATAAGATGTCATAGAAATTTTGAATATTTTAATATATAATAAAATTTATATATCTTACAACAAAATTCAAAATGAAAGTTCAATTGTAATTTTAAATCCACGAAATCGAAATATGTAATTAATATCTATCAATATTTAAAATGATTTATTTGTTTGATTGAAATTAATACTAAATCTTAAACGATAAAATTATCTGTTTCAATAAATAACTGCATTCTAACGTTATACATAAATATATTTAAATACTAAAAATTACAAACATATAAAAATATATGTACACATATAAACAATTTTAAAAATACTCATTTTTTTATATAAAATGTAATGACATAAATGTAAAATGAAAATTGTAAATCGAAGTGATATAAAATAAATGCAAAAGAAAAATTTCTCTTTTATTTATCCAAAGAGAATGCAAAAAGTAAAATGATAGTAGGAAAAAATATTTATTAATATCTTTTTTTTTAAATGTTCATAAGACTTTGTATATCCACACATAATAACTTTTAAACATCATCAATGAAACGATTATTTCTTCCTTAATTAATCTTACTTACTAACCAATTCTATATTTACATCATAATATTTTACATATTAAAAACTACTTATCTATGTTTAAAGAATATTCAAATTTCACGTTTCCTCAATATCTTCCTTATCAAAAATAAGATCATCACATTACTAATTTTATTAATTAACAAATAAAGGAAAATTAATAAAAAAATCAATCAACTTTCCTTAAAATCGCTGGTTTCGCATTAAATTTCACGAAACGAAGAGGAAGAATCATTCCATCGCCGGGGGCGAAATGGAGGAAAGGGATGATGAGGGATCCTGGAATGGAATTCCTATCGATCCAATCGATGGACGCGGATTCCAACGCCTTTCGATGGAAAAACGTGGGGAAAGCCGCGACTTAAATAAGCCTTCCGTCGCGACCAACAATTCTCACCACCTACCACTTCCGCCTCCGCTCCTCATTTCCATACCGCGTATCCCATTCGTACAAAAGAGAATTTCCACGGATTGGAGCGTTGCGAATATCGCGTAACGAGCGATTCGAGAATCGACTGTGTGGATCGGGCAAACTCGATTTATCGCATCCCTCCAGATAAGGAGTACTCGCCTTTGATCGCATCATTGTTTATAAATTGGAGAAATTTCCATAGATTGGGGAGGAGATTTGAAATAGCGTGTACTCGATGGATCGCTTGGAAATATGGATTTCAATTAGATAAATGAAATGAATAAAGCGGTGGACTCGGTATTTAATACGATTTGTATTGAATTTCTATTTCTATCTGTTTAATTTAACTGTTTATACAAGTGGAAAGAAGATTAGAATCTAAATAGCGAATAAAGATTGTCGGATTGAATAAGTAATTTGAATATCGTTATATTCGAAGTATTATTGTGTATATTGTTAAATATAATTCTTGATCGAATACGCAAAGGGATTTGTTGAAAGATAAGAATATAATACGTATAATTGAAAATTGTGTGACACGACGTATCTTTATATGTTTTATTATGATTTCATTACTTAATTACATACCGAGTTGATGGCTGTCATGTTGCTAACTCGACCTGGATCTGTGTCCACTAGCCCGTTGTCACTCTACAACAAAAAAAAGAAAAAAATCGTCAGTTAACATAAGAAACATCATAGCCATTCGCTAATTATCGATCGAAAACAAACGCGTGAATTGGAAAGACCAATTGAAATATCCGCAGGAATATCGAAATTTCTAATTCGAAATTTGCCGCGCGAAAAATTAAATACGGATATCGATTTGTTTGTAAATTCGAGAGAAAAATAAATAAATAAAAATATATATATATATAGAATTTAATCACGCGATTGAACGCACGCAAATTTTCCTCGTTTTTTTTTTGAAGTTCTTGAAATTCTTCGGTCACGAAAATTAAAACGATCGGGAAAAGGTTAGGAGCGAGAAGGGAAGAAAAGTGGAAGGGTGGGAGGAACATTTTTACACAGCGAATTCATCCAAGGGCGGAGGTAAATGGGGGCTAACGTGAGTGCACTTGAGAATTTTGTTTTAATCGCCGTCGGTTGCAATTAAAATTTCGTCTCGTCGAAAATGTTTCCTTACCCAAGCCCTCGAAACCACTGAGTCGAGTGAGAATATTAATTAGGTAGCGCTAACGGCCGATATAAATGCTGGGAAATATCGATATCGTTCGAGTTGTTTCATTAAAATATATAAAAAATTATATTTGATGGTACAAACGATCGGCAAAGAAACTTTTATATTTGAAATTTAAAAATGTTCAAATATCTCGATCATCGATGAAATAAAAATTGAAGACACAATTGAAGAAAGAAATTAAATTCGTTTAAATGGTCTTTTGTTTGAAATGATTTCTTAAAGAAAAATGTATCACTCTTCATCAAATCAATATAAGATAAGAAATAAATAATTTATCGTTTAATTCAGATTTAGATATTTTTATTACAAATTTATATATATACTAATTTATATACATCTTATAAAATATTATTTAGACACAAATAAATAAGACAATAAATACATTTTAGAAGAATAATTAACAACAAGTAATAAATATAAAATTCTAAGAATTATAAGTGGTGTAACCTAAGAAACGATGTTCATTCAATTTAAAAAAAAAATTTAACGATTATCCTTACTTTTTCTCGAAAACTAATTAACCATCATCCACGAGGCGATCTCTTTCATAAGTACTTACCATTTATAAAAAAATACATCCAACACCATATCGATCCTCACGAAACGAAACCCGAGTACTTACTACGCTCAAACCTATTATTTCTCTCCTCCTATTCGAACAGGACATCATTTCATAAAAAAAGAAAAAAAAAACCATAGAAGGAGAACAGCCTCTCAAACAGAGACAAACAAAATCACAGAATCGCAGAGAAGCGGATCGGAGAATCGAGATCGATCCGCGATATCGGCGGATAAAAATTCGCGGCGAATAAAAAAAAAAAAAAAGAAAGAAAGAAAGAAAAAGAATTCCTCTATTCCACCACGCGTGTTTCTCGACTCGAGCCGGAAACGCTGACCCCTCCAATCTCGACCAGGTAGCGCGAGATCGGCGCTGGTGGAACCGGTCCCGGGATTATCGAGATGGAAATTCCGCGCTCGGCGCGGCGAGGACGGAAACGTGCTCGAGAGAATCTTTGGAGCGTGTCGAGGAAGGGGAGAGGGGGAAGAAACGGCACAAAGGCGAGAGAGGATGGCCGCGGGATCGTGGCGAAAGAGCCCCCGGGTGCGGCCGTCGTTCCGAACTTTGATCGTAAAACAGCGCCGGACTTCTCAGACTGGCGGCGTCCGCGTTGAACGTGTGCCAGATCGGTTATGCTTGAATAAATTTACGTGTCGAATCCTCCTCCCTTTTCTCTCTCTCTCTCTCTCTCTTCCTCCGTCCGCCATCTTCTCGCCTGAGGCCCATCGCGAGGAGGATGCGAAACGAGAGACGAGGGTGTAATTGGTGATGGGGGACAGGTTTCGAGACCACGATGGCCACGATGGTGATAGAAGAAGCTGGAACTGGGGTTAAATGGTGTTAAGATATATGGGAAGATGGGATTGATGGGTCTCTTGTTGAACGTTTTTGTTTCAAGGTATTTGGAAACAATTATTTAAATAATTATTAAAAAAATTCAATCATTTTTTGTTTTATGTTACTGGGTAGTATATTTAAAGATGTTCCTTCATCATGTTACTTCATCACACATGTGGTCCTTTTCTTGTTCAGATTCTCGACAATTTTAGATTTTGGATTCGTCATTTATCGGTGAAGAATCGACAAATTTTTGTTATGAAATATGTATAGAAAGACAGGAGAGTTCTGTGTCAATTATGATGCTGTTGAGTTTTCGATCTATATTTATGAGATGCTGTATATATTTTGAATGATGTATATCGTTTTTTTTTTTTTCAGTAGATTTATATAAGTATTTTTATAATTTTGTATGTGACGCATATCTTAATTATTTTTCAAATAATCGCCATCTCGATTTAAATATTTATTATGTCGCGATATATTTATATTATCTCACGTTATGTATATTTAAATTTATTAAAGGAAATTTTTATTATATTTTCAAAATCTTCTTCGATTTCATAAACAGATGATAATAATTGAGAGCCAAGTTCAGAATTATAGAAAGAATATTCGAAAAACGCTTTCGTTTAAAACAGTTAAAGGGAATTTCAATTTTCATTGCAATATAAATAATTTAAAAAGAAAATTTGCAACGATTATTATTATCAAGCGTGAACGAAGCTAGCTAATCACTAATGAATATATTTTTTATATTTTTATTATTCATTATATAAAATATTCATTCTTATACACAATGAAGATGTTTGAAAAATTCTGTTCGTTGTTGGAACAGAATTAGAAATTTTATGATGTGGCTGTGTTAATATTATATATTTCTGTGACACACAAGAACGAAAATCAAGGATTTCATTAGACAAAATTTAACAAACTTTGCTTATATTATCAGACATGTTCATAAAACAAATTTGTTATCTCTTGTAAATTAATCGGATTGAATTACATTAATAAAATGAAAATGATTGAAAATATTGAAAATTTTATTAGAATCGAGCTTCTTTGCAAGAATAAAGCGATTTCAAAAGTTACAAAAGTATCTCAATAAAAGTATTAAATAATTGATTCATTAACTGATTCATAAAGAACAAATGCGATCGAATTTTATTTTCAAAATTTAAAGAGAATTCAAGATGATCACTAAAATATTAACTACTTTCATATACATATTAATTTAATCAACTCCATTAACATTCATTGTTTAACTTTAGAAAAAAAATGTTATTCGTATATTGTGAAATTAAAAAATTAAAAATTTTTCAGAAAATTAATTAACTTTGCTCATTTTATTTTTCAATGTTTAATAATAGCTCGATCTTTACCTTGATGAATTGTAAAATATTTTTCAATAGATCATGATTATTTTTTAATTGTTAAATTTTAGCATTTTATTATTTTACAGTTACATTGTTTCACATTTATTAATGACATAATCACTGATTTTTTTATAAATACCAAAAAATGAACGAGAAAAGAAATACAGAATTATTTTCTTGCTTCTCTACATATAAAATTATATCAACATCAAAAATCGATATACTATAAATATGATCCAAATATATTCAAATATTTTATCAAAATATTCAGAAATAAATATTAAATATTAAGTTCAAATTATATCCCGAAATATTTTTAATATCTTTCCTTTACTTCGTTGAATTTGTGCTATCCCAAATTCTCAAATTAATCAAATATTCCGTATATTTAATCATCAAAAACGTTAATTTTATCTGTTTAAACATTTGCAAATATAAACCCATGCATCGATTAATTATAATTAAAAGTGCGTCAAAGAAGTCAAAGTGAAACGAGATTGTCAATCGACATTAAGGATCGACGTGAGATAAATTATATACATTTCCAAGTTTCGATCCAAGTTTCCAATATGATAATTGATTACCTCCTTCGATTTCTTGCGAGGATGGAACATTAGGAGGAAGATGGATCGGCTCGAAACCGCTCCGCGGAAAAATTAAACGAGCGTGAGAAACGTGGGCTAAAGCGATTCGAAGACAGAACTACGATTCAAGCTCGAAAGTTGGCAAGGATCGGCTCGAAACTGGGTTGTATTTTGTTTTCGATGCACCGACTTCCTTCTCTCACTGCCCCGGAAGTGGCAAGGATCGAAGGTTTTACGGCGCCATTTGCCTCGTGCGTCAACAATAATTCCTCGGCTAAAGCGTATTTCGCGCGCCCCCTTTTTGCAAATCTTCTTTTCGTTCTTTATAACGCTTGAAATTCTGTTTCGGGAGGCAAAGACAATCGTATCCAATAGTATCTTTACGATACTGCGAAATGAAGGGATAAAAGACTGTAAATATTTAAATAGGAAATGGTAAATTATGTTATGGTAGAAATATGTTATATTTAATTTAAATTCAATTATTTGTTATAGAATTAAAAATATTTGAACAATTAAATTATTAATAATTATATAAATAGACTCTAATTTTAATAAAGTTAAAACGAGACTTTTTATTAATTTATGTATTAAAGATTTTATATAAATTATATTTATATTTATATTTTGTATAAAAGATTTTATATAATTTTAGAAAGTTTTATTATTGACTGTGTGTCATATGTTTTCGTATTTTATGCACATTATTACGATACGTTCAAAGAGAGTATATTTTCAAAGTGTAAATAAAGTGATCACTTTCCACAATAATGATGTAATCATAGCGAATAATTTCCATCTATCTATGCGAAGCAAACTATTTTCCATCGCGAGTTGATGTTATCTCCATACGCACGATATTCCATAAATACAAGTAAATTCCAGAACAGAACGAAACGACAGTGTTTCGAATGCATCACGCTCATCAACGCATTTCAGGAATGCGTGGCAAAATTTTACTATCACGTAAAAACGGAACATATTATGCACATTAACGCTTTATCGTGATCCAGTTGTTAGAGGTGAGATTTTCATTAGAGAAACGAAAATATTATTTATCGTGGATGTAATACATCATAAAGTGAATTCTC